TTATATAGTTAGCACCAGTGTAATAGTTTGCATCTACGTCATGAAAAGCACTTCATTACAGAAAAGGTCTTCGTAAAGGCCACTCCTCAGCTGGAGATGAGTCCAACTATCGCTGGCTAATAGGTTATCGGCGATCAGAAATTACCTTCTATAGAACAACGTAAGCGTCATGGACCTAATGGTTCTGACATGTGGGGATGAAACGTGTGTTTCATGAACATTTTTAAGTTCACATGTTGCGGGTTTAAATATCCCTCAGCTGTAGTTCACGTCAAAAGGCGGGTTTGAATAGTTCGGTATTTTCTTACGTACAATGACTTTGTTGAACGTAACAAAAGATACAACAAGCACCACCATGCCTTTTAATGTTTCTTGATGTGGTCCTTTCAGCGCGTTCATGATAGAGCCGCTTGCAATGATACAGAGAATGTTTCACCCTGGAAACCATACAAGACAAAAGGGCACGCTGCTACAAAACGTTTTCATTGACGTCAATCCCATTATATTCTCTTTCGTGCGTATCAAATTCTAGTCAATCAGAACGGGTAAATGACGATGAAAAACACTCATGGGAAGAACAATGATGTCTTCTCCCTTCTGTTTACAGTCTACTATTACCATAAGGTCTACCCTAACGGTGTTTTCCGTTATTCCAGGTAGCTTGAGAGTTGGGTGAGACAGCCATGGATTCCCGTTGCCTGCTGCTTCTGCTCGCCGCCATCTCGCTCCTTGTTTCCGGCACAGCGGCCATCCCCTTCCGAAAGGCGTACCGAAACAGCGCGGTGGACGACAACCTCCTCAAGGCCCTCCTCCGCGTGCAGGAGCTGGAGGAGGAAAAGGCTGCCGAAGAGGAAGCTGAGGAGGCCGTGGCGGAAACGATAACCAAGGCTGCTGGATGAAGAGGAGGCAAGGAGAGAGGAGGAGGCTTTAGCCGAGGAAGCGGCGGCAGAGAGAGCAGAGGACGCGCGCTTCAACCTGCCGGCTTACGACTTCGAGTATCCGGAATACGAAGATCCTGAAGAGATCCCTTCAAACGACATCAATGGCGAGCTGTATGAACCCCTGCGCGCCGACACCCGTTCCCTCGAGCTGCCGTACAACAGCTACCCCCGGCAGCAGTACGAGGACGAAGTGGACCGAAGAGGCGACGACAAGTACGACCTAGACAAGTTATATCCCGACCTGCCTGACCCTGATCCTGAACCGCAGATCTCCGAACCGGATGACGCGCTCAGCCCAGAAGAGTACGCCGCCCTTCTGGACTACCTCGGACTGCAGGAAGACACCAGACGTTCCGACGGTTACTACGACGACGAGGAAGTGAGCACCTTAGCCGATTACGACCCGAGGAAGACAGCGAAGAGGACAAGAGACCGCGACGCCTACCATCGCGCGTACAACATGTTCTGGAGCAAGTTGGGCAAGCCACGCGAGGAACGACAATGGGAGGACAGTACGGATGATGGCATGGAGGAGCAGGACAACTGGAACGAAAGCGGCGCGTACAGAGTTCAGGATCTGGGAGCGGACAAAAAGGCACTGGAGCGTCCGGGAGACCAGGGCAGAGTGAGCTGGCGTCATCCCGGGAACGACGTGGACACAGGGTACACCGGGTACGAGCCCTACCAGAGAGAGAAATACCCGTCTCCGTTGGAAGACATGATGGAAGCATACGAACCTTATGAAGACGAAGAAAGATACCAGGAACGAAGTAGCCAACCCGAGTGGGGCGACATCGCCCAAGACGAACAACAGGATGACGACTACGAAACCTTCCTGACTCGGAACGAAAGAAACGACAAGATTCTGGACGCGCTTTATGAAGACCAGATTCCAGCCAACGCAGTCGATGCTGCAGACCCAGAAGAGGAAGATGACAAGGACTTTGACAAGTACGAGAAAATGGCCGAGGCCTTGCTGAGAGAGTATCCCGAACTGGCTACCGCAGCGGAGAAGGTGCTAGACGAGATCATAGACGAAGAAGATGCCGAAGACGCGGAGAGACGCGAAGATGGCATCTTCGGAGATGAAGGAGAGGCCGAAGAACCAAGCTTCGAAGAAGAGCAGCAGAACATCGAAGACAGGGCCGTGAAAAATCCCCTGGAAGGGTACACACACAACAACATCGACATCCTTCAGAGGAAGCGGCTGTTCCAAGACGAAGGAGAAGAAGAGGAAGAAGAGGGGGAGGAGGGTGGTGGGGACAAGGATGACGACGACAAACTTAGCTACTACGACATTTTAAAACCAGATGACGAGATGGATAATGGCGAGGAGGCAGACAGTGACGCGGAGGATCCGTACGCACTAGACGACGTCTACGACGCAAACGACGAAAAGAAAGGTAAGACTGAAATTTACGTTGTCCTTTTAGTCATGACGTGATTTGCAATAGATCTTTTCAGCTTATTCATTTATATTTGGAACGCAAGGGTGGTCCATTCAGCCGAAAAGGACTGATTTCCAAGGGAGCCCATGAAAACAGGATACAAAGAAGGTAATACAACCAGGGGTCTCCCCAGGCAATGGTGCAACGGCGGTGCGCCACTCCCAAAATTTCTAGCGCCACTCCCAAAATTTTCAAATTAAGGGTCTTCTCTTTGTATTTTCGCGGATAAATAGGCAAAAAACATCGAAATCTTGACGCGAGTGGCGTCCATTTTCCCGTCGGCATTGTTTCTGAAACTTGTGAATGGGCGATAAACGAGTAAACAATGACGATTTCGCACGACGCTACCGAGAGAGTCGCTGTCATTGGTGGAACATCGGGCGCCCCGCTGGCGTTTTTAAGTCATGTAAACAACGCTAATTGTCTGATTGGTTTGTAAAACAAAGCCCTCGAGCCCGAAAATAAGTTTAT